GAGGTTGGAACAAAGGAAATAAATCTTCTCTTGCCTCTTCTAGGAGCATTGGTAACTATGTGTACCACCGGCTGTAATGCCAATGAACTCGAATTTTTTACAATAAAGTGTAAGGATTTTTTTCACTTCTTAGAAGAGGTAGCTATTATTTTACTAAACATCATTCGTCGAATGTTCTTTTAACAAAGAACCTGTATTCTTTTTATGCAGGAAAAAACGTTTAAATATTACGTACATGAGTTTAGTGCTTTAATTCGTTGACTTAATTAATGATATCGTATCGTTCCCGCAATACAAAAGGCACAAATATCTTTATCCGCTCACAATGGAAATAAGACCTCCTTTCACTAAGATCGACAACCAAGCAAAATCGAAATAAATTATTCATTTCTGAGCAAAATTTACCGCGCGAACAAGTAAGGTATTGACAGACTCTGTCTCAAAAACGTTTCGGTAGCAAAACAGTCTTATTTGGTTGTGAGACTTCAGAGATGGGAAAGGTGGGCCACGTAGTTCAAAGGCCAAACACCGTCCGTGACCGCATTCATCAATAGAATAACTTATCGCGGCTGAATTCACAAACAATGAAATTAGCGTAATTCAAATAAAATAGCCGCATTCATTTTTAAATATTACCTATACATGTAGATGTTCGAAATACGTAATAAATTTTAAATAAATAGAATTTGAGGTTTTACGGCGGTGAGTACGAAGATAGCTGTCTTCTAGGTTGTAGCGTCGTTTACCAATGTTTCACAGGTCCTTGTTGCCTCCATCATCAGGGTGATCAGAGCAGTGAGTTATAGCCTTGATGATGTAGGCAGCAGAGACCTGTGAAACGCTCGAAAATGATACCTGACTACACGGCGCTACAGCCCAGTAGACAGCCATCTTAAAAGTTAAAATAATATTTAGGTTTTGATACTTTCACAGATAAAATTAATATACAGTTCGGAACGAAGTCTTGTGTAGGAACACTCTTCCTGGGTTAATTTATAAAGTTTCCTTGTGTTAGAAAGTAATTAGAGACAAGCAAGCATTTGAAAACTGCTTACATCGATAGGCATTGAAATCTGTTGCGATATGATTACATTAGTTTTCTATATTTCCATTTTCTCAGTCAGATAGCAGCATAATGAGGTTTTAGAGTAAGCTATTAGAACTTTTAAAATTATTTATTATAAACACTTTTCCATCGT